GTGCGCAGGCCTCTTTTTCAGGATATGCAGAAGACTGACAATAGCGCGCCCTGAAAGTTATTTTAAGCTCGTAAAATTCTGATAATATGTATACACAATTCACAAATATTAAAAAACCTACTGTTTAATTAAAAAAACTATTGTAATAAATACCATTACACAATACAAGAAGTATGTATTTCGCAAATACTTGGTAGTTGATAACTGATAACTGGATTTTTCAATTTTCCAAAGTCGATATTCGCCCCTCACAGAACTTCAGGGTATGCATTGCAGCTGCATACCCTGCATACCCCCTGCGCACGCCTATGATGCCGTACATTTCTGCACAGTGCACATGATTATTGTACTTATGTTTTGGTCAAATTATTATTGTGATGATTGAAKACATTATTGCCGTATTAAATATAAGCTTTTAGAGTAAGTTTTTGAACCACTAGCGAGAGTTCAAAAGTTCAAAGTTGTCAAATTTAACTTTACTRTTGTATGTACCAGCGTTAAAATTGTTAGCTCAACGTTCGTGTTATTCGTGTATGATGTGGTACTGTGTAGAAGGCTTCAGAAGGCATCTGATAATTCTGTAACGGCTACGAACCTCCTTGTCATCCACCATTCAAAAAAGTACAATCATTTTTTATGGAATTTTAATACTTTTTCCCTCTCTATTCGTAATATACCGATGATCACTATTCAAATGTATTACATTTTTTTGATGTTTAAAATGAATTTAGTTTTTAGTGCCTGATCTTAGTATTTACATATTGATATGGATTGTTTAATTGAATTATTGACACAATACTCAATAATAAAATGTTTATTAAGTACTTAAAAAATATTTAATCGCAAATACATATATGAAYTTATATAATTATTATAACCTATAAAACGCATAATTATTTATGGTCAAAAATATTGTTTATATTTTCTGAAAAACTTAAGAAAAACATACAAAACATGCACTACACGTAACCTTGTGATTGTTTTTTAGACGTTTTTAAAAGCAAAGCTTGTCTTTTTATTATATACTTTAAACGGTCTTTCTGGATCTATTAGTGAAACTTGAAACCACTAACTGAACSTTAATCGATATCGATATTATTATTCATTTATTTGTATTAATAMAATTGTTTCATACTGCAGTTAGMAAATTAATAATTATCATTCTCTAGGTRCATTATGATACAAACTTTAATCATAGCATTAATGTACGTATTTAAAACAAAAAAAWTAAATACCAAGTACATTCTCAGTACCTACTATAGTCTATAAGTACTTAAGACCTACCCGTTTTATTCTGAATAGTAAAAATATATATCCTTTATATTGGTATGATATATTTTTAGTTATTCAAATATTAATACGTATTAAACTTTGTTTTCAAAGAATATAATTCTATGTTTTATAATATTTATTTTAAAAAATATTGAAATATTTTATGTTAYAATTAAACTAATTTTGTGTCGTATTATTGTACATTATAGGATATAGATAGGTATTATAACAGGWGTGTAAAATCTGTTACTAAGTTAAAACATTTGTTTGCAAACTAAAAATCAATTTTATTTCATAATGTTGTTCACATTGCTTATATATAGTAATGGTAACACAGTTTTCGATATATGATTAATAGATTACTTAAAATATAGTATAAAAGTATAAAAATGCAAAARTATTAAGATTTTCGTTGAATATAAACAAATGAATAAAGCGATTGTAAAATGCACTCCTTACAAGTCGCTATTTATGAGTATGTTATTGTAATATGTTTTGAGTGCATAATTTAATAACATTTATAAAAATATTATTATAAACATGATATGATACGAAAAAACAGTTAGGTAAATTTTTTAATAATACTCTATAGTATTTAGAATATTCTTTAAAATATAATTGACTTGAAACAAGCGAAATAAACTATTGTAATATTAATAATGTTCAATAATAAAAATAATATAAAAACCTAACACTAGGTAATAAATTTTATAGTAAAACTAAATTATGGCAATATTGAGCTTAGGTCATCATTTTTTATATGGTGGCAAATATTCCCTGTCTGGTACTGGTGGTTTATTGTAAGAGTTTACAAACTGCGCATCAGATATRGAAGTTGATCCCGGGTATGATGCAGGAGTTGGCGATGCACCAGTTAATGTTGAGCTTGGACCATATGATCCCACTGTACTTCCTTGATTGGGGTAAGGTGTTGTGCCCGAACTTCCAAACGGACCTTGAGAACTTGGCCGACCATTATTGTTCACACCTGTAGATGGGTACGATGGTGTGGCTTGTGCACCTGGGTAGCTGCTTGGACGTTGACCCGGGAATAGTGCACTTGTCTGTGATGGATAGTTAGCTGTTGGGCCTTGTGATCCTGCCTGTCCTGGGTAGTTGGCAGTTGGACCCTGAGAGCCCGGTTGACCTGGATAGCTGGCTGATGGGCCTTGTGGACCATATTGTCCTGGGTAGTTGGCGGTTGGGCCTTGTGGACCATATTGTCCTGGRTAGTTGGCGGTTGGGCCTTGAGAACCAGACTGTCCTGGGTAGTTGGATGTTGGACTTTGTGATCCTGCCTGTCCTGGATAGTTTGCAGATGGACCTTGAGAACCAGATTGTCCTGGGTAGTTAGCGGTTGGGCCTTGAGAACCAGATTGTCCTGGGTAGTTAGCGGTTGAGCCTTGGATACCAGATTGGCCAGGGTAGTTAGCTGTTGGCCTTTGAGGACCAGACTGTCCTGGGTAGTTGGCAGTTGGGCCTTGAGAACCTGGCTGTCCTGGGTAGTTGGCTGTTGGGCCCTGGGGACCAGTTTGGCCTGGATAATTTGCAGTTGGTCCTTGTGGTCCTAATTGTCCTGGGTAGTTAGCGATTGGACCTTGAGGACCAGACTGTCCTGGGTAGTTGGCTGTTGGACCCTGAGGACCAGTTTGGCCTGGGTAATTGGCGGTTGGTCCTTGTGGTCCTGATTGTCCTGGGTAGTTTGCAACTGGACCTTGAGGACCAGACTGTCCTGGGTAGTTGGCTATTGGACCCTGGGGACCAGTTTGGCCTGGATAATTGGCAGTAGGTCCTTGTGGTCCTGATTGTCCTGGGTAGTTTGCAACTGGACCTTGTGGACCAGAAATTGTTGGGAAGTTAGCAATTGGTCCTTGTGGTCCAGCTAAACTCGGGTAGTTACCAATTGGGCCATTAGGACCCACTTGTCCAGGGAAGTTGGCGATAGGTCCTTGTGGGCCTGATTGTCCTGGAGCACCTACTTTTGAGTAGTCATAAATATTAGCGTTCAAGCCGTATAGGCTTTCAGCAGTCGAACAATCAAACTGGTTCCACCAGACACACACAAAGTGTTGTTGGTGGAATATTGTTCCATTAGGACACAAGAAATCGTATTTAATATCATTAGAACATATATGGAATACTTGACATCTGGTTTCAGTATCAGCGTAGTAACCTGGCAATCTCTGGTTACAAGTAAATGAAGTATTTGGTATTTCTGATAGTATTGGGTAGTCGGTACCTGGTTCTCCGGGTATAGCAGAAAAGTCACCACCCTCGTAAGAACCATCGTCATTATTTCCAGCTGGTGAGATTCCAGATCCAAAACCGTTTCCAAAGCTGGAAGGTCCCTGACTACCACCATTTCCACCAAAGAAACTGCCAGGTCCTTGTAAACCAGAATTTCCACCTCCAACGCTGCTAGGTCCCTGACTACCACTGTTTCCACCAAAGAAACTGCTAGGTCCTTGACTACCACTGTTTCCACCAAAGAAACTGCTAGGTCCCTGTGCACCAGAAGCTCCACCACCTACACTGCTTGGTCCACCAATGCCGGTGCCTCCATAACTTGGCCTGGATCCGCCACCAACGCCATTGCCAAAAGTATTTGGTCCTTGTGTACCAACATTGTTACTTCCATAATTGCCTAAAAATAAATTAATTGCACCGTGTAAGTATAAGGCAATAAACTATTTATTTCTTTTACTGTAATATTTACCAGGTGCATTACCTATACCAAAACCGCTTGATCCCGGGTTGCTACCAAAACCTGTTCCTGGTAAAGAACCACTGCTACCACCATAACCTGGAGCATTKCCAYTTCCAAATCCRGTARTWCCTAMATTGTTTCCATTTCCATAACTACCAGGAGCATTTCCACTTCCAAATCCAGTAGTTCCCACACTGTTTCCACTTCCATAACTACCAGGAGAATTTCCACTTCCAAATCCTGTAGCTCCTACACTGTTTCCACTTCCATAACTACCCGGAGCATTTCCACTTCCAAATCCAGTAGTTCCTAAATTGTTTCCACTTCCATAACTACCTGGGGCGCTTCCACTTCCAAATCCTGTAGCTCCTACACTGTTTCCACTTCCATAACTACCAGGTGCATTTCCACTTCCAAAACCAGTCGAACTTGGGGTTCCTGAACTTCCACCAAATCCACTTGGTTTTGAACTTCCAGATCCAAAACCAGATCCTGATCCAACACCATATCCATTACCACTTTGAGGGGCTCCTAAACTTTCTTGTCCACTTGGACCATAGCTTGGTCTTGTGTTAGGACCAGAAGAACCATCACTAGAAGAACCATATCCAGGTGATGAACCTGAACCAGTAGGGAAGTTTCCAGGTCGTTGTGCAATTGAAGTAGGGAAGTTAGCGGTAGTGAAATCTTGAGGTGCAGATGTAGGATAGGCTGTTTGGCCACCATATCCACCAGTAAAACTGGGCGTACCAGTAGGTCCAGTAGAACCAAATTGATCAGCCTGAGTTGGGTATGATGAAACCGTAGTTGGGAATGAAGTAGGATAACTAGTACCCGATGGCTTACCTACTAATCCATCGTTACCGTATGGTATTGCTGTAGTTGGACCATTCAATGGGTTTGATGGTTTGTTGTAATTATAACCACTTTGTGCCTAAAATAAATGTATGGAATATATTTAGCAATGGCGTTTTTTTATAATATGTCAAATTTATGTGAGACACTCACCAATGCATAATGGGATAGTGCAAATAAGGCACCTGAAACATTAAAAAATAATTGATTATGTTTATTTAATCAAAATAAAATACAAATTAAAGAGAAATTATTATTGACAAAAGTGTGTGAACTACTTAGAAATAAAAGAAGAATGTAGAGCATATATTTTAATTAGATAACTGATCAAAGAGTTTAACCTTGTCGAGGTTTGAGTTATTTTAAACATTATGTCACTTAAATTGTAGRATCTATTGTTAACGTTAACAACTGATTTCGYCTATTCTAATTTATGAAAATCGAGCATTACCTGTTTAACACGTGACCTCATTCCCTACATATTTTTTAAAAATTTCTCACGAAAATACCAACAATTATGCAATAAACTTTATTAACATGTTGTAAATATTAACCACATGCAAGATATTAATTATTTTATATATAAACACACAAYACTATTTACCCACTTGTAATTAAGTYACCAGCACTCTCTTTGTATTTGAAATATATTTTCAAAGAGTTTTTAAAAGAAGTACATGCACTGAAGTACTAATAAATTTCTTAACTCTTAAAAAAGCAATTTAATATGTTTAATTTGTATTATTTGGATTCAACGGCTCTCAGGTATTTTTAAATAAATTTAATTATTCTTGAATCATTTGACATTTCTAATAATTTGTAAAAATACTATTCATAGTTATTTTTTGTCTCTTAGATTAAAATGAATGAACAGAATTGGCTTAATCAAAACAATGTTTATACTTAATTGTACTTCCTTGTATCGATCACTCAAAATTAACGCCTAATTATAATGATAATCTAATTACAGATCAATGCATCCAGTATAACATCATATAAACGATAGAATTATTGAAGCATCAAGTGAAAATTTAACTGAACAATGCACTTAAAAATATTATTTCACTGACTTTCAAGCTACCCATTTATTAAAATAAAAATATAGAATACTCGTGTGTATTAGTATTAATCGTTAAACGATATAATTGTCTCCCAATCAACAAACACTGCGAAATAGCTGTTTACTATTATAATATTATTGTATTCTATGCACTGTCACGCCTAGTTTCGTTGTAAAATTAATTTTATGGTGATATATATTATAAACTATTTAAACGAAATATTATGCGCCGCGCCGTATACATTTTTTCAATMAAATKATATCACAACGATAGTGATACAATCTTCTTTGCCGGGGCTTACGCCTTGTTGACCACTAGGCTGTGACTTCCTTATAGTTTGACGGTGTAACTCGTCATGTGGAACAATTAATCTACTCGGACTYGGACGATACATTATGTTATTTTATTGTTGTGTGGTTTTAACAATAAGACGAACGAAATGGACAGATATTGCAATTGCACGGAAAGCCCGTCTGTTTAAGACCGTTTTGCAAGCCTCGGCCGTTTTGGCTTGCCGGATTCGGACAAATTGAGCAACGAAGCCACCAGCTGACGAGACGGGGCAGTCGTCTCGTTCATCATCTCGCACAGTCACGACTTCATGCACGAGCTTGGTTTGCATACTGCAGTCACCGTCGTGTTTTCTTTTGAAAACCTGGGTGAAATATAACAGTCGATATGTGTACCGTCTCCGCTGGAGAGAAGAGATGTGATATATTTGCATTTTATTTTATTATTTTTTTTTTCTTTTTAAAGATTCTCATTGTCGGTTGTGAAATAATTTTTGAAAGTTCACAAATCACCACCGTAGCAGGGAAAAAAATAAAATCCATTCCCAAATGACATTTATCCCACGAAGTCGGTACGACACGTATTCGGGATGGGAATTTACGATAACCCCTCTAGGTCGTTTAATGCCAATTACGGCGTTTCATTGCGAAAATCGCCTTCCAACGAATTGGCACACTCGTCTATTATTATTGCCACGGGATCTTATCGTAAAATGTTATTATAAACATAACTTATATTCAACGTGCATCCGACAGCTAATCTAATATCACGAACGCAATTACGATTTGTWCTGTCAAAATTTAACGAAAAAAAAATAACATCGAACAACATTTTATACTATGCTCCGATACATGCAATTGGAAGAGAAACTAATAGAATTCGTGATGCTATCAATTTAATACACACAAGTCCCACACGCATATTATCGGCTGCAGTTAATTATATATATATATATATATATCTTATACATTTATTGTGTGGTTACACAGTTGAGCTTCAATCGTGTGGTCGATTAATCATAATAATGGATCGCGCGTGTTACTATTTGAATTACTTACACAGCAACTGCAAGAAAGACGTATTCATGATGATTGGCACACCACCTGGAAACAAACAAAAAACCAAAACAACAGTTATAAAATAATATTATGATATGGTTAAGTTTAGTATAAAATAATATTATGTCATAACAATAGGGCAAAACGCATTTGTATAATACCTATAATATAATAATATTGTTTTCGGCTGATTTCGTGCGGATTTCATGTGCCCATGATGGTATAGGCGKTATGTGTTTTAACGATACAACTGCATAATGCCATAATGGTGCAACAAAAATAATTATAGGTACCTATGTACAATATATTCCTTATTAATGATAGTGCCAGTCTGGATCGAAATCGCAGAACTAAGTTTATAATTCCCGTCGACACGTCCTTCGGGTCATCAGTTCCGATATCGGTCTGTGTCAAATCGAAATGCACACGCGCAATGCGTGTGTATATATGTATATGAGTAGGCACCTAACATGGTTAAATAGGTATACCTATTTAAAAACTGTTACTCTCTAGGCTGGTCAACGTTCCTATAACGCGATAATTACGGTGATCGATTTAGTCACCGAGCGGCCAAAGAGCGAAGGCGATGGCGCGGCGGTCATTCCGGCGTAAAATGCGCGCGCACCAAAGTTCAAGAGTAGACGCGTGTGACCGTGTAAGGTCTACGAGATCGTTGTCGAACTAGGAATATCCGGCGGCGACCGTTCCGTTTTGAATTTTCTCGGCTCACCTTCAGCCAAACGAAACGATCGTAATAATAAGCTAATAACAGCTGAATTGTATGGCTTAAGCCACAGTGTGTCGAATTCATTGTTTTTGGAGTCTGTGCGGTAGGCGACTCGTCTTTGCGCGGCTAATGTGTTTTGTTTTTACCCGTGTCTACCTATTTTATGAGCCGCGAACTGCAACTTTTTAATGATATAATAGCACGTCGGTTGTAAATCGATCCGATCGGGTCGAGGAGTTCGTTTCATTTTATATATTATTATTTATTATTAATATAGGTAAAGTCACAATATATAATATTATTATAACATTTTGTTGGGTCGTTATATCGCCTGTGCCACGTATTCAGGTTGTGTCGGGCTATCGATGGATCGACACGGTGAAAACGTAAAATAAACGTTGCAAAAATCGATGGCGCGTCGCAACGATCTATATTATATCTAAGTTATGTAAACGATGCGGTGATCTTGAACGCCAAGTGATGATAGTTTAATAACGAGACTATTTATTTTATTACGTTCGACTGGTGGTGTTTTAATTTGTTGTACTCTAGATAATTTTCCTAAAATATGTGATGCAAATATGTCAAACCGATACTGTCTGACAATTCGTGAATAAAAACGAGAACTCGCGGCAGACGAATAGTCCGTCTTTTATACTGGACCGATAAATATATATTGTTGATATATCACCCGAKTGGAATCGTATAGTTCGACTTATATACTTTTTCGATTAGTTTTTATTAGTATTTGAATCCTGATGACGTAAAAAATTTCGGGCATTTGATATCGTGTCATAATCACTCTACATAACCAATCTATATATATACAATATCATAAAATAGGTTTATGTACACGTTATATTGTTACTGTGAAATATGTACCTATACCTATGTAAATATTCAATTCGAGCGAAGCTTTTTGCGCGCAAATCACGTAACACTGCACGTTTCCGAACGATTGTTCGCCACCGTTCTTATTGTAACACGCCACTATACTGTGTATTTCTTCTCACACTCGAAAATTACGACCGTTCCAATTTCGGATGCGACCCAGCGAACGGTTTGAAAACGCGTCGACGATGATATTTTGCAACCGATTAATGTCAGTTAATTACACGATTTACGAGTAAGCGACGGTGGCCGCACAATAGCCTTATATACCCGTGTACCTATATATCGTATATTTATATATGTATAATAATGTGTGACGTTAGACGTTTGTTTTATTATTGTTATTATTTTATAAAAATTGTTACAATGGGAACGAACACAGACCAGCCACAGATTGCGCATAATATTATTATTATTATTGCGTATATTATAACATATTATATTTGCGTACCGAGTTACAACAATTAAAAACAAATTTTGATCGACAAATACATATTATACCTAATTATATTAAACCGTCTATCGTTTATAGGTCTTGCGTACTACACCTACTACAGCTGTTGGTCTGTCGAACCTCTCAATTTCGCTCTCTCAACGTCGTTTTCTCGAACAGTGTATATTTTGTATTTGGTGGTAATTGTCGATACCAACAAAATGGAATTGTATTCGATACCTTACCGTGACATTAATCGATAATTACTTGTATTATTTATCGTCCTATTTCATAACGACAGGTAATTCATTTAAATAGAAAAATTACTTATCAAAATCATTTGAATAGAATTTTAGTAAAAAAAAGAATGCTTAAAATCAAATTATAATATTATTTTCTCTTTGTTTTATTCACAAAAATAACTTGATGAAACATTATTACACGAATTGTTTCCTATATTATATACCGAATTATAGAAATTACATTTAAACCACCTCACACCATGGCCATTGATTTTGTTAAATTATTTTGATTTGAAATTTTTATTTTGTATTTAATAAAAAAAAAACTAAAATGAAGCACTAGTGATWTAAAAAAAAAAATGTTTTAATGTTTTTGGTATGCTTTATTATTAMTACTATGGTATGTGATATAATTTAGTTGCTATATGTCCTTCGCTATGTATAACTTAAAACCAGACAAAAAATGTCTGAATTTTAATAAGAGTTGTCTATATTTTATAAGTATATATATATGTCAAACGTTGGTTAATTGTTTTTTAATTGTTCACGTTTTTATCGAAAAAATAATTTTGGTTGTAATTTATCATATTGAAAAAAAGAACTTAGGTCTCAATTACAATGTTGTTTTTAAAACAATATACAACTAAAACTATACTAATAGGTACTATATTTATACAAAAATTTAAAATTTCAATTTTTTAAGTATAATTTTTTAATTTTCTTATAATAAATGATGAAATATTTTACAATGTAATTATATTTGAATACTTCGCGATGGAAATGATAATCGTTTAAAAAACATTTAAAGATAAAAGCGAACGGTGCTCAAGTGTTGCAAGTCAGATCATATGTACCTATATTATTATATTATAATATCATGTTATACCTAATTGAATAACCATGTATGAGACGTAATAATAATACACTGATGAAAGATATTTCTGAACGTTCGTTTGATACCAAAAAGGCTACTATTATTATTTTACAACACAACTGTATAATATAATAAATAACAGATAAAATATGATAATAATAATTATGACTGCAACTTGAAAAGTGTATTTGAACAAACACCATCATATTATATAATAATATAATAATATACCTACGATACGTTTTGTACTGCGTCCGATATAGGAGTACAACGTGTATCGCGTATAGTACATATATATATATACAATGTAGAGTACATAATATATAGGTGCATAGTATTATAATATATAGAATGTTAATATACATTGATTTAACAGTGTTTTCGTCGAAGACGAACATAATATGTAAAATGCTCGGACGAATCGCGTCGTGAAAAATTATATAATGACAGCAATAATGATGGACGACTATATCTCTCTATTCCTATATATTATTATGGTATTATATATCGGACTTCTTACCTTTTAGCCGACGGATTTAACGGTATTTGCGGTGGACACCGCGGTTGTGTATATTATAGAAGTGCACAAAAAATTAAATCCAGACACGAAACACTATTTTTATTCGATCACACTATAGCAGAGACTTAAACGCACGACGACGCGTCGTACGAATGTTATTTTTAATGAAAAAAATGAAATTCGTTGTACACGCGGTGATGGTGGTGGCGAGAGCGCTGCAGTGATGTGCGTCCCTGTTGGTTCGGCGAACGGGTCGACTGTGAATGTTTGTTTCGGGAGCACGCGATTATTTATAGGTAGATCCGAGACCAAAGCTTGGCCGCCGACCGTGGGGGCGAAACGCGTCATCGGCGCCGTCGCCTGCACACCGCGGTGGGGCCTGTCCCCCCGTGCGTGCTGCGGACGAGCACTTTCACGATGAGGACGTCCGCAGAGACGTTCGGCGGCGGTGGCTTCTCGTCACGAGGTCGCGTAGTCTGTCTTGTGTACACTCTGGCCGTGGCTTGTACCCCGCGCGAGACGAKCACTTACGCTGAATTTGCCGAGCGGTACGGTTATTATATTATACTATTATTATCACCATACTCCTGTAATAGAGTAGGTAATATTTTCATCTCCGTTATAATATTCTATCACTACGATACTTTCGTGTAGGTAACGCATCACACTCGTTCGCCGTCCCCGGGATCGATCGGACGCCGTACAGACGCGTAATATTCAACCGTTTGTCACGTTATATTTTAAACTTGTGCATACGCTGAAGCAGTTCTTAATGATCGATAGCGAATAATATGATATTGTATCATTTTCTGACTTCTGAGCAGTTCACTGATGTGTATCGATAATACGACTAGCGACTTTAACGTTCAACTACTCATCTGCGAGATTTGGTGTAACCTACACGCATAATACCCCATACTACGGAACATCACATCAATCGATTATCGAAAAAAATACCACGTGATCGATTTGTCCGATTGTTGCGTGCGAACACTTAACAACGTAATATTTATTTTATACATGTAGGCGTGCAAAAGTGGTGTGCAGTTACACACTCTGCAAAAATTGTATTTTATACAATAGTCGATAATGATATTACATTTACATAATATAATATTCTTTATTTTCACTATCAATAAAACAGCCTCTAAACAAATTGAATTTACCATAAACTTATATTGTGATCATATAATACAGAGACAATATTTATCTTACTGAATTGTAGTAGATCAATAACCCCTATATACTAAAATAATTCTACACATCCTGTGAAAAATTTCTGCACACGCCTATAATTTTATATGTTTCAAAAATATATCATTAATATATAATTACATGAGTGCAGTGCTCGTGCGGCTGATCAGATTCCGTTTATATGCGCTGTAGTACTACATAATTTAATATTTATCATCGTTATCATATTAAAATCGTATACATAGATATTTAACAGTAGCTATTTGTAATTTGCATGCTTCGTTCACCGTAGTCTCGACGTTGGCGTAAAAATATTAA